AGCTCATATGAAGCTAACCCTGCTGTTAGCTCCTCTGAAGCTAACCCTGCTGTTAGCTCATATGAAGCTAACCCTGCTGTTAGCTCCTCTGAAGCTAACTCTGCTGTTAGCTCCTCTGAAGCTAACGCTCACCTGTGTCCTTCCTCTTCTCATGGTAGGTGTAAACAGCTCCTGCTGTGCAGTTCTTCCCATGGCGAGTCATGCTGTGGCTGTTTTTCTTTGTTTATTCAGCTGAAAACTTTCAGAAAATGCTGTTCAAATGACAGCGAGTCGCAGGTTAGCTTTAGCGGCTAAAGTAGACACATAAATAACAAACCTCTGGAAGGTTTATGAAGATAAACTTAAAAATGCTTCCTCCAGTGGACAACAGCTCTACAGTGGAGCCGATAAAGATTTGATCTCTGGGGAAAATGACTAATTAAATCCGTTTGATTCGATTGATTCTCTTTCCTTGTAATGTTTTTGTTGTTGCTTCTTCTTCTTGTCTGTTTGCTGGCGGACTGCAAACGTTCAGTAGGTGCATACCGCCACCTACTGGGGGACTAGAAACATGACCTAATCATCTGGGAATGTAGGGAAATTTAAAACTTCGAGAGAACAATAAAAGAATACTGTTGAACAGATATTACACTAGATCGGGGTTTCCTAATTTTAGGATGTATCCAAAAAATACTTTCTTTACCAAATGTGAACAATTATTGTTTGATATTTGTCTACTACAAGCCAAATGAATATAGCACTATTCTGGAAGAAAAACAACAGGAGCAGGTATCAAACAATGGATCAGGCAAATGTTGAAGACTTTACCTCTGGAATGCATAACATATCTCCAAAAGGGGAAAACTGAATTATTTGGAAACATTTCAAGACCCTTCTGGGCCTTTGTTGAAAGAGTGGATGTGTCTCAAGATGAAGAAGGCAGCTGAAGAAAAGATTAATGTCAGACTGAAAGGTTAAACAAGGGAGCCTCAGCAATGGACTATTATCTTCTGTATCCTTAAAGGAATCTATGCAGATATGTGCCTAAGAGGATGTTTGCTGATGCTGTTGATTGTATTGGTTATATGGCGGATACATCTGTAAAAAAAAATACAATAAAAATATTGTTGGAAAAAAAACATGACCTAATCATTCCAAAAAAGTTAAAAAGACTCCACTGGACTTTGTTTCCAGGTTTGAAGACGTTTCTCTT